ACACACACACACACACACACACACACACACACACACACACACACACACACACACAAAATGAGAGAACACACACACACATAGAGCAGGGGGTTGGGGCGGGGAGGTCGGCAAGGGAGGAGGGAGAGAGCACGGAAGAGGGAGAGAGGGATGGATGGAAGACACAGTCACTGTGGAGGGAGAATTGTCAGCCTCATCGTATGAAACACCCTTATCATCCAGCTCATGGCATATAATTTGAGAGAAAAAAATGGTCAGAAACCAGGGGAGTGCGAGAATTTCAAGTGGACTCCTGTCCTCCATTATGCAGCCAAGCACATGCAAACTCAATCAAATTCCGATCATGTGCATGTTCGGGAGCGCCTATATCTGCATTCCTTATCAACACCTACATCACAGAAAAGCATGGAAATTGAATTCAGAAACCTTCAAACCTCAAAACACCGTCTCTTCCCCAACACCAAGTGTAGAGTGCTCTCTCGAATCACGTCATCAACTTCGGCCTTCTTGCCCCTCTCCATCCCCCAGGCTTCATCCCTGCCACTCAACAGGCCATTGCAGAAACAAACCCCCACACCGTACCCTTCCCACACAACTGCAACCACTCAAATACTATCCTGTACACCCTCCTCCCCCCCTCTCCCTCCATCATGAGATCCCCTTCACGTTGATTATACCCTACCCTTGCATCCCACTAAAGTGAACCCCCTTGTCCCCCCCCTCTCTCCCTTTCTAGCCGCAATAATCTCAGGGCCTCCACCCTGTCCACACCCTCACAACACCCCCTAAAATATTTCCTTGCTTCCTGACCATAGCTTTGCTAAAGCAGAATCTGATGCAGAATATGTACTATGTACTATGCCTGTAGTTAATCATTATCATAAATGATTTTAAATTTTAAATACAGGCATTTGGCTGCCTTGATGGACATGATTTCCGGATTTACCACTGTAAATGATTTTTTTTTTTTTAAATTATTAATGACATCGTAACTGAGTCTTCTGACACAAGTTATGAAAGGGATAGCCCAACCCCAGGACCAGTTTGTTTTTTCATGTACTCATCTGACAACTTCATCTCCGCCACCTTTTGCTGCTCTGCTACCAACTCGTTTCCAGCTTGGATTAGGGCCTTCAGAGATACCTGCAGGTTGAATCAATGGTGAACGTTCAGCGATGGATGTCATTGATCTATTGATCTTTCATCTTTCTACTTTCTCTCTCCGGATATACTTGACTCTAAGAGGGAATAACTATAGTGGGTAAGAAAACAAGGTGTTTTTTTTTTTAAAATTGAAACTCAACACAGCGAAGGGAAGTAAAGAAGATAATAGGCCATATGATCAAACCAAACCATTCCAGCTCTTATCTAGACTGAACCCTTAGCTAAAGGGAATTGAAAATTGACTCTGACTAGGCGTGGTGGGATTGAAAGAGGCCCATGGACTTGATCACCTCTTCGAAAACTACAGTAAAAAAAAAAAAGGGGCGCGGGGGGGGGGTATCTATCCTAGGCCTGTCCATGTCTCAACTTCAAAATAGCAGGTACTAGAGAGAGACAGTGAACAGACCAACTTTCCATTGTCGTACCAACTGCGAATCCGTCCAGGTCTCGCGCTGACCTACGTCTGTACCGACGTCGGCCAGTACCCTAGGCCTGTTCCAGGTCCTGTCTAGCAGGTAGACAGAGACTGGACATTAAACTGACCTAGGTAACGGACCATGCATCTAGTCTAGCATCTAGTCTTGATGGGGTTGTCTGACACCGCGAGCCTGGGAATAAGAAGGAAGAAGACGAAGAAGAAAAAGATAGAAGGTACGCTCAGCAGCAGTGCAGTTAACCCCCCCCCACTCTTACGGGGGCCGTCAATGCTGACAGCCAAGATCATATCTTTACGATGCATATTTCTCAGTTGTTTCATCATCCAAAGGGACGCTGGACCCGCTTTCCAGCAGGTGCAACTCCCCACCAATAGAATGGAGCACCCAGAACGTGCACTCTGCCGTTTCAAAAAAAAAAAAAAAAGGTGGTCAATGCCATCCACTCGATCCTCTCAACCATACAGGGGAGTAGTGTGTGTGAGTAATAATTTAGTGCAGTAATTCTCTGTGACCTGCCGGGAATAGGAACCGACCGCACTGACGCCCCCCAGAATGGAAAAAAAGGAGCGCGGACTGCAATGTTCTGTTTACACAAAAAAGAAAAAAAGAAAAAAGGCAGAAGAAGACAAACAAATCAAGGATAAAAACATGAACAGAAGGTATCTTCCCTGCGGAGGGTAAGAACACAAAACATATGGTAAATTGCAAGGAAGATGAGCAATAGCGAACTTCAGAAATCAAACAGCATCATACACAAGAGACCAGATAGTCGTGACCTCAAACCAAAAGCAGAATTGCATCACGAGTTTCACCAAATAAGAACACAGCAGAAGCTCATACTTGACAATGCTGGAATAGTCTCATCATCTTCAACGAAGAACCAATGTCGGCTTCCTATCTGGAGCCCGGCGCCCAGACTACGAATGGCAGATCCTATCTAGTAGCCTATTCTACAATGCCGATGATGATGTCAACAGCTCCCCGAAGTACGAGCAGATTTCGGACAATGCCGCACGCTTCAAGCACCAGGTATGTCCCTCGTTTCACTCACAACCTCGTTCCCCAACTCACAGATGCCACATGCACCCAAGGACCACCATGCGCCCCATCCAGCATACAACAGCGCAGCTCGGCTATGGCTGCCTGCTCCTTCCAGCTCGCCCGTGAGCGCGTGAGCCTGGCAGGCGATTGCGCAGCAGTGCTTGCGCACAAAGCAGCAGTGCCCGAATACCGCCAGCATGGGCAGGGCCTTTCCTATATGGAAAATGGCCAACCTGCGTGCATGCAGCCTGGCTGTGCTGGGCCTCTGTCCAGAAGCTTCCGGTAGGCCCAGGGAGGCTGAGCCTCAGACCAAACGAGATTGCCCAGGGCCACCGACAGTTAGCTATGCCCAACTGCCCACAGCCTGAGTTAGGCCTATGCTGCGAATCTCTTCCAGGGCCTGACTCAGGTGCATTTGATAAAGGAGGCCAGGGCCTGGGCGCTTCCAACCAACTGGCGCTGCGTAACTGCCTGAATTTTCCCCAGTTGCGAAGTAGTCCAATATAGGCCTCTTAGGGTCTGTCGGGCCTGCCTTCACTTAGGGCGGCTGACGCTGTTGCAAACAGGGGGTCGGTGGGGCTTATCGAGGCCTTGTGCCTCGCATTCCCTCCTTTATACTTCGCTAGTCCTCTGAGAAGTTCATTCTTCGATAATCTGGCGCTTTCCTTTCCGTAGAGACTTCTCATAGTGAGCGACTACCTATGGAGCGGTCTGCATCAATTCCTCCCTTGTGAACCATGTGTCCTCTTTTGGATCAGTGTGATGTCTGAACCGAACTCGATACTGCAGCTTCGGTTTTGGAGGACGTCCTCTGCCTGTTGGTCTTGAAACTGGCATCTCCCTGTGGTCAACAATGTCGTCGATGTCGACCTCTCCATCCATGGTTGGGGGCAGCATAGAGCAACGAGAGGGAAACTGCTCAGTTTCCTTGAATGGTGCCAGCTTGGAGGCGTGAAAGATAGGGTAAGTGTGGAGATGACCAGGGATCCGAATGACATAGGATGGCCCGTCCGGTTCTTCCCCAACAACATCTAGAACCTCCCATGGTCCAAAGTACTGTGGCATGAGCTTATGGGAGATCCAGTGCTCCTGTCCCAGTTCTGAGGATTTTACCCAGACCCTGTCCCCTATCTGAAATGTAGAAGGACGGCGGTGCTTGTTCTCAGTTTCTATCATCGCCGCCTGTGTCTTGTGCATCTGTTCTACTGCCTGCTGCATCAGTTGTTCATAGCGATAGGCAAACTCAAGGGTGCCGGGTGCAGCAGTTGACTGATTGTCAGGTAGCAGAAAGTCTAGGGGCAGTCTGGGCTTGAAAGTCAGTAGCAGACTATTAAGACTTACTCCAGTTGCGCTGTGCACAGCATTGTTATACGGGCTGGCGATGAGAGCAAGTTTCTCCTCCCAGTCCACCTGATTGGGCTTGATGTAATACCGCAACAGGTGTTGAACAGCGCGATTGAGTTGCTCTGCTTGGCCATTGGCCTCGGGATGGTTCCCAGAAGTCATCTGCAGCTGTGTTCCCTGTTCTGCAGCTGCAGCTTTCCACAACTCACTTGTAAACCGGCCATCTCTGTCACTAACAATAGACTTCGGGAGCTCAAAGTCTCTGACCCAGTTCTCTTTGAAGAGTCTAATCACATACTCAGTCTTCGCTGTCTCTGGCATTGCAACTAACCTAGCGTACTTATTAAACCTATCCACGATAACAAAGATGTGTCTCATTCCACTCTGCTGGTGACCAGCGGGTGTCCATAAAGTCCATAGACAGGCTCTCACCAGGCCTTTCCGGAATCGGAAGGGGCTTGAGGAGCCCAAGAGGGGCTTGTGTATGGGGCTTGTCTCTCCGGCAGACCTGACAAGTCTCCACGTACAGCTTGGCATCTCTCATCATCGTGGGCCACCAGAACCGCTGCAGGAGATTGGCTGCAGTCTTCTTGAAGCCAAAATGTCCGGTGGCATTGTGACACTCGCCTAAAAATAAACTACGCAAAGACTCTCTATTTGGCACACACAGACGTTTATTCCCTTCCTTCTTAAGGAACAGCAGGCCGTTGACCAACTCAAACTCGGCAGAAGTAATTTTGTCCTTCGCCTCGAATCTGCGAATGATCTCAGACATAAACTGATCCTCGCGATAGGCTTCCACCATAGAGTGAGTAACATCGTCCGCAAGCCCAAACTCAGTGATCAGCGCACCGGAGAAGTCAGGCCTACGCGATAGTGCATCAGCAACCTTGTTGTACTCGCCCTTGATGTACTGAGGCTCAAAGTCATATTGCTCTATGACTTCAATCCAACGCTTCAGAGCGTCGGAGAGCACAGGTTGGGTTCTCATCCACTTCAGGGTTTGGTGATCAGTCCTGACGTAGAAGAACCTCCCAAGGAGGTAGTGCCTCCAATGGGTGAACGCCTTGTAGATCGCATAGAGCTCCTTCTCATAGGTGGACTTAGCCAACTTCTGAGAGGGCATCTTTTTGGACATGTACTCTACCAGCCTCAACTTCTTCCCCTCCTGCTGCGCAAGTACGGGGCCTATGCCATATTGGATAGCATTCATGGTTACTACGAAAGGTTTGTCAGGATCAGGAAGTTTCAAGACCTCATGGTGTGTCAACGCATGCTTCAGTTGTCTGAAAGCAGCCTCACACCTGTCTGTCCACTCCCATGGGGTGTCAAGGCGGGTCAGATGAATCAAAGGAGCGGCCACTATGCTGTAGTTCTTCACAAAGTTACGGTAGTAGCCGGTCATACCTAAGAAAGACCTCATCTCATTCACAGACTGAGGACGCGGCCAGTCACGAATGTTGGCCACCTTCGCGTCATCGGGCTTCAATCCCTCCGCGGAAATCTCATGACCCAAGTACAAGACACGGGTGCGGCCAAACTCGCACTTCTCACTGTTGATCTTGAACTTGTGCTGTCGCAGAAGACTAAGGACTTTGTCCAGGTGCGCAACGTGCTCCTCGACAGTCTTACTAAAAATAAGTATGCCATCGAGGTACACGAGGACAAACTTATCCAAGTAGTCATGAAATATCCGATTCATAGCGTGCTGAAAGGTGCCAGGAGCATTGCGAAGGCCAAAAGGCATCACCACAAACTCGTACAGACCGTACCTGGTCTGAAATGTGGTTTTGTGTCGATCCCCAGGCCGGATTGCAATCTGATGGTACCCGGACTTCAGATCTATCTTACTGAAGTACCGACACCCTTGCACTCTATCTAGCAAGTTATCGATGCGCGGTAGGGGCTCTCTGTTCTTGACAGTTATGGCATTGAGGCCCCTATAGTCAATGCACATCCTAAGTGTTCCTTCCTTTTTCTTCGGTACAAATAGGACTCCAACCCTTTTCTACGAGTTCCTTGAGTTGTCGGCGAAGCTCATCAAGCTCGCTTGGAGACATCCGATAAATCCTACCCTTTGGGATGCTAGACCCTGGGATAATCTCTATTGCATGAACGACCTCCCTCTCAACAACCCCTTTCGGCTCTTCAAATACATTTCACCGGCTCGCCTGCAACAAAGACATAACCTAGATACATACCCTCCTCCTGATTTTGCTTATGATAATTATAGAACGCGGCCGCACACATGCATCCGTGGGACTCAATCAGACTACTAGCTTTGAACTTACGTAATTTAGCGGTCCCTCCACCTGGCAAAGTGTGTTTGACCACTTTTCGGTCCCAATCAAACTGGGGTTGTGCCACAGAGAGGTAGTACATACCTAACAACATATCCATGGGGAGATCATCGCTCACTAGGAACGAGACACGATGTCTTAGTTCCCCTCCCGCGTACGGGAAACAACACTCAACATTCTGGAGGTAGTCGTTGACTACCATGCGCTGTTTGTTGGCACAGGTCGACTCAGGCGCTGCACTTGCCCCTGTAAGCGCAGCCTCTCAACGCACGGGCGACTAATGAAGTTCCGTGTCGAGCAAGTGTCATAATAGGCCCCGGCTTTGCGGCCGCCAATGACCACCTCGCTGACGAACATCTCACCCTTAGGGGCTTTGACCAATGCCGTCCAAGAAGCTAGCGGGCCTGATCTAGACCACTCCTCCTCTAGCTCCTCTAAGGACTCAAACACATTCATCGTACAGAGGCTCGATGGGTCTGAACGTGTTTGCGGGACGACAATGGAGTCAGTAGCTTGGGCCATCTCTCGAGATGGTGAGGGTGTGTCCACCACCTCGACCCTAGCAGGAACAACTACTATTCCTACTGGCCCGACATGTTTCTCGGAGCGGTGCCAGAACTGTTGGGCACATTGCTACCAAAGGGAGTGGTGGATCCCAACGCCTGCCCCATCGTAGGCGGGATTTTTTCGGTCAGCTTCTTATTTCGGCACTTGAATTGGTTATGGCCATATTGGCCACAACGGATACAAGCCTGCCGCGTGTACCGATCTCTCCACACGTCCTCAGTGACACCCCCTTTCTCCCATGGGGGAGCATTGGGGTCAACTTGACTCCTTGACCTGGAACCTCCACGGCGTCTATCGGTCGCCTTACCTTTCTGTGCTACGGCAGCGACTACTCCTCCCATCTACGCTGCCAGCCTCTGAACCTACTCCCGCCTGGAACTCGTTGTCCAACTCGATGGTAGAACCATCGTTGTCGACGAACATAATGCGGCCCTTCGCCTTCCAGTTGGGAGGCAGTGTCTTCTTCCTACCATCCGTCGTGGGATTATGTCCATGCCCTATCTTTGCTTCAAGGTATAGGGCCTTCTTGCTAAACGAAGGGAAGTTGTGCATGTTGATGTTGGCCTCACCTGCCAACTGATTCCTGAGATACATGGGAAAGCACCTCAGGTAGGAGGTGAGTAATACCTGGGGGTCATAGCGCACCCCAAGGACACAGATCAGACGGTCTACAGCGTCAGTGGCCTCCCTTACTGACTTAAACTGCCTCGTGTGCAGTGTCAGGATCTCGTCAGTAGCCTTTTGGGCCTCCTGCGGATCATGCCACCTGTCTTCCACCAACTTGAGGAAGTCATCCAATTTCTGGGTGACCGCCCAAGCGCGGAAGTCATGACCGTACCCCTGTAGCTGCACTAAACCACTCAACCATCGTGCTGCACTCCCCTCTAAATAGGAGGCAACCACAAGCACTTCCTCGTGCGGCAAGGTAAGTTTGCACTTGACATAGACTGGCACTGCCCTCAACCAAGTGTCGAGGTCTTCGCCTCTCTTATCCCCTGTGAAGGGTTAAGGAGCGGCGATGGCCGTCTTTGGTACCCACTGACTTTGTCCCGGTCCCTGCATCACTCCGGGCTGTGGACCCTGTGGTGCACAGGTTGCTGCACTAACTGTTGGGGTTGTGTACCCTGCTGCTGTCCAGGTTGCGAGACAACAGGCTGCCCGCTAACGGCAACCTGAGACGGAGTTTGGGAGAACACTGTCTGTACAAGAACCTGCAAACTAGGACTTGCTGAGAACCTTCCTGCTAATGGCATGCCCAGGGAAACGGTTTGGACCGATGTTGGAGTTGTATATGGGGATACCCCAGTCACCGGTGGGACAAAAGGAGGAGGATGTACAACGGGCCAGGCACCGGGCCCGGACGGTGATGGTGTCGCCTGCATTCGCCCGACTAACACAACCAGACTCTGTTGGATGTCCTGTAAGATCTCCATTTGGTGATCTTGCATTTCTACTACACTCAACAAGACCGACCGTATGGTCCTCACATCATCCTCCATCTCTGCAGGGTCCATTTCCTCTAACTCACTGACGTCCACTTGCCTCCGCTGCATCCTGGCTCTTCTTCTAATCATTCTTTCCTTTTCTGCCTTACTCTCCCCTAAAGCCTGTTTTAGTTGTGCCTCGCGAGCAGCAGCTCGCTGTATGGCGACCTTCTCGGAAGTCATCACTATGGGCTGGCTTGCCATTAAGCCAGTTGACTGACTTTGGGTCTGCGCGACCGTTGACCCTACAGATCCTGAACTGCTCGCCTAGGAACTCTGCTGCGCAAAAGTGGCCATGGCTACAGAAGCTGCGGCTTCGCTTACGAACGCCCTGCTAGCCTCTGCTGCTCTGGTGACCACAAAATGACTTGTCACTGTAAAACTATAAGGAATCATGCCAATAAGATTACAAAATAACAAAAAAGTAAAAGCGACAAAGATGAAAGGAAAAAATCGTTGTTTAACTGCTGGTACACCACTTATTTGTTCATTGACTAAGTTTTAGCTCTCCTCTGCTGCTGCTGCCTCTCCCTAAGCTGGCGGAACAAATATTTGTCGCCCTCTGGTACTAATGCCAAATGGGCAATCCGGCGTCTAGCCGATCGCAAGAGTCGGTCGTCCGGTTGTGGAACCTCCCTGTGACTCATAAGCTACAGCATTGTACAGTACCTGCACTAGGACACTCAAGTGATGCCTACCGCAGTGACATGTTCAGACCGATTTATAATAAAATAAAATAAATAATCAGCGGCTATGTTAGAGACTATACATTCGGGTCCAACAGGTAAGTTCAAATTCCTACAAACAAAACTATTTTTAGTTTGACTAGTTCTCGAACAGAATGCACAATGAACAGAAAACAGTTCTAATATGCTATCTGTCAGATGTTAATGGTTGTACATCTAACTAATAAAAACATAAAAATAGAATCATTTGTGTGGATTGGGACACTATGGAATTCTTCCCGAACTTACCACCTGAAATTTACCCCTCCCTCAGTTCCTCGTGAATGTCACTTGACGTCAGCGTCCCTGAGCCATCCAGAGAGCAGTGTGTATCTAAAGGTGTGCAAATCGGCCCACCCCTGTGCCCCGAATCCTGCTGAGCTGGCCAGCTCTAGCACATTGTTTATCCTCGCGTGCAGCGAGCCTTACACCGATTGGCTGATCAAGAGGCTATTTAAAGACCGCCCCCAAGTGTCCTCAGGAATTATTTAACGTCGCAAACAGGACGACGATCACAGCCAATGGTTTCCCCTGCCGGTGTTTATTTATAGACGCCCGGTTCTCGTCTCCCACATAGGCCTGGCCTGCCCCTCAGAACCCATCCAACAGCGCAGCGAGCCGAACAAAGGACAAGCAGCAAAGCATGCATGCTCTACTCCCGGTGGGTTGGCATGGTGACCGTGACCTAGTGCTTCGTCCAGGGCCCTTCAGAAAGCTCCGCCCATCTTCCCCCAGATGCTCCACGTGAACATTGTCGACTCTCAAGGTTGAGCGCACTCGACTCCTCACAATGAGAGGACTCTCAAGACGGAACACACAACCTCACGGTAAGAACTGTTGAAGAGGGTAGATAAGGTTAAGAGCAACGTACCTCAAATAGCTGCCCCCAACCACAGAGATAATCTCACCAGATGACCTGACGCCGATTGTGATGACCAGTCATTGCTTCGGCACAACCAGCATTACACGCCGTTCCACCTCAGCACCAATCGCACATCAGATAGTTCTCATCACATTGTCCAGAACCCACATTACACCGCATAGCCTTCCTGGCGAACCCCTCTCCACCTGGGTCGCCTACTCTTGCCTTCGCCCTCCTCACTACACATGTCCCACGGCACGGTCGCTCACCTCACACACCGCGTGCATGTACCGCATTAGGCAGATGACAAGTGCCAGATTAGCGCACCAAACCACAGCTCCGATACCAAATTGCAAGGAAGATGAGCGATAGCGAACTTCAGAAATCAAACAGCATCATACACAAGAGACCAGATAGTCGTGACCTCGAACCAAAAGCAGAATTGCATCACGAGTTTCACCAAATAAGAACACTGCAGAAGCTCATAATTGACAATGCTGGAACAGTCTCATCATCATCAGTGAAGAACCAATGTCGGCTTCCTATCTGGCGCCTGACGCCCAGACTACGAATGGCAGATCCTATCTAGCCTATTCGACAATGCCGATGATGACGTCAACAGCTCCCCGAAGTACGAGCAGATTTCGGACAATGCCGCACGCTTCAAGCACCAGGTATGTCCCTCGTATCACTCACAACCTCGTTCCCCAACTCACAGATGCCACACGCACCCAAGGACCACCATGCGCCCCATCCAGCATACAACAGCGCAGCTCGGCTATGGCTGCCTGCTCCTTCCAGCTCGTCCATGAGCGCGTGAGCCTGGCAGGCGATAGCGCTGCAGCGCTTGCGCACAAAGCAGCCAGTGCCCGAATACCGCCAGTGTGGGCAGGGCCTTTCCTATATGGAAAATGGCCAACCTGCGTGCGTGCAGCCTGGCTGTGCTGGGCCTCTGTCCAGAAGCTTCCGGTAGGCCCAGGGAGGCTGAGCCTCAGACCAAACGAGATGGCCCATGGCCACCGACAGTTACCTATGCCCAACTGCCCACAGCCTGAGTTGGGCCTATGCTGCGAATCTCGCCCAGGGCCTGACTCAGGTGCATTTGATAAAGGAGGCCAGGGCCTGGGCGCTTCCAACCAACTGGCGCTGCGTAACTGCCTGAATTTTCCCCAGTT